ATAATTATTCAAGAATTAGGTAATTTATATTGTCAGGAAATGTATATATTTATATGCATATTAACAGTACCTTTGTGTGGTACTGGTGCCTATTATAGAGTTCTTAGTTATAAACTTTGGCTTATAATTTTAGTTTTATATAGAAAAGTTAAAAGAAAAAAAAACGATGATGGTGAGATTGTTCAAATTATAGGTAGCTTGCTTTTTGATGACAAGAAAACCCCTTATTAATGTTATTAATGTCTAGAAAGTCATTTATTTGATGTAAAAAAGAGATTTGCTGCGGGTATAAAAATTTTTGCAGTAATGAATGAAAAGTTACCCAAAAAAAAACGTAACTACCACTAGACATATTTTAGCAAAATGTTTTCTGTTATAACAGCATCGTAACCTTTCTGGGACATATTTAGTGCCGATATTTTGTTAGGGTTAATCAATTTATACTTATGTTTAAATGTTTCTAATTTTATATTTATGTACTACTACCAACAGTAAAACGGTAAACCTGGACTATACCAAATGTTCAATTTTCCAATTTAAATTTCATATTCAAATGGGTATAAGAGTTTAGACACGAACGTATGCACGTCATTACATTACAAATTAATCAACGTTATTTTTCCCAGTTTTTTTCATATCAACGTTTTTCTCATAATTGCGAACCTGTCTCCAGTAGTCTACTTATTGTTTATAAAAAATAATACAAGCTTATATTGAAAATAAATCATTGTATAGCAACAGCAAATGGTGAATAAACTTACTTGTAAGAAACAAAATCAAATACAGTCCACAAAATTGGCAACAACCTGCTTTCTTACCCATGTACATAGAATTCAGTACACCCAATTTGAAGTAATTGAACTGTTCTTAAGTATTTAATTAAAAATTGCAGTTCAGATCTTATTCTTTATTCTTTTTTATTTACATAGTTGTATACGTTTTTAAAAGACATAAAATATTGATATTTACTTTCCAATATTTATATACAGAACTGAATACCGCGAACAGCGTATCCACAGGGCTCCTGGAAATATTATGTATTGTGTACAAGCCACAATAAAATTAATGTCTGCATAAATCATACTACAATTTTCTTCCATTACAGAGAAAGCTGCACAACAATATTGCAGAAGTAGATTATACTTAAGCTTGAATTTTTAAAGAAACATTTGGTATTTATTACTTTCGTAAAGTTACATGTTTTCACAAAAAGAATAGATATTGACGAATTGACGAACGCGCATTCTTCTATGTCAGTGGCAATAGTTACTGGAAGCGATAATCAATCACATTTACTTTTAACTTTCGTAGAAAACCTATCAAGTGTCACATCGTGACTGGATCGGGTCAAACAGCATAGTTTCTTTTGCCCGTTTCAAATGGAATAGGAGAGATGTAATCCCTTTATGGTGTTACATTGTCTTACTTCAAAGCAAAGCTAATTTAAAGGGTTCTACGAAATAACCATATTACAGTTTTTATGCGTTTATCTTCAGAGATAAATATTTTATTTTTCATTAGTTTGAAGGGTGTTGATTATTACGATGGTCGTTCAAATTTTAACTTTTACTCTTTTAGTTAACAAAAAATTATCAGGGAAGAGACGATGTATTTAAATTAATTTTTCAAAATGGTTTTCCTCTTTCTGAATACACTAGTGCAGGCTTTTGGTAACATTTGTATGTTCCGGAAAAAATCCTGTACTTATTTGAGAATAACTTAGGTACTTTCATAACTTTTAGAAATTGTAAGGCTTCCATTTACAGACAGCTTCTACAAACAGGCTTTGTTTCTCAGACAGTCAGTTAGGATATTATGCTTCTATTATTTTCGGGGAAGCAAACTGAATCTTCACATTTTACTCGAAACGTAATAATTTGAAGACAGAGGAAGTTTGTGGAAACTAATAGATCGAACATAAGTGATTTGATCAGTGATTTTCCTCATAAGATCCATAGATGTTCAAAGCACATCCTCCGTGCGCCACTGTTACAAGCAATGAAATATTTGAAGACGATTTTTGCTGCTTTCCGTGCCCTTACAACGAGTATTTTTTAATTAGATAGCACAAATTACACTAAATCAATGAAAATTAAAAACTATTTGAAAACTAACACTTTAATATCCTGTAAATATACAGGCACACAAAATAAAAAATGGCCTGCTTCTTTGGTCATAACACTATTACTGTTATTTTGGATTCGCTGAATACGAATCTATAGTCAGTTTGGCGTTAGCACCCACCATTTTCGAGCAAATGCTTGCTAAATCCCCAAAAAATAAGATTGTTTTTGGGAATACGATTAAGTATTGTAACAGCATAGGAGAATCTGATCCTGGATCTGAAATAAATTTGGCACTATCACCCATCATTTTCGACAAAATGCACACTCAATTTATATGAAAGTGTATTCCACTAAAAGTGTTGCTTTTTTTATCAAAGCCTTCGCTTGTAGGGAACTGTTTTGTCTTCAGAAAATCTGTGGTGGGTGCCTTTTTCATTTCTAATCTTCTTACATTATCTCTTCAACATTCAACAGTAGTTATCCATGTTCATGTCTCACTTGCGCTGATACATTTTTTGAATTTCTTTTAAATCTGGGTGAAAACGTTTACCTTACTCATCGCTATAGTCAGCAAGTTCTCCAAAATTCTTCACCATTTCCATGGATAAGTTAAACAATTGTCACAAGTTTTGATATTTTCCCTATAAAACCGTCTTCATGCCACTTTTTACGGATTTGAATATATCTTTTTTTCAGTTTAACACTACCGATTTCGAGAGATTTATTTGCCATGTGCCTACCTATACCATTCACCTTCTTCATCCAAAGCCTTAACAAATTGCTTCATTGGTCCAAGTATTATGTATAGTGGAGGAAGCAGACAACTGAGTAAAGTTAAAACATCTTATTCAGATATCCTTGATTATATCAATTTTCGCCACTTGTGCAAATAAAATTTTACTCTTCTTCCAGTTTTATTGAGGGTGTTATTGAAACAGAAGTATACCTATGACATTATGCAGAAGTTCCTTTAGGATTTTTTATTCTAAGGAATGAATAACCTTCACTGGTTGTTTTATGTAACGTACCCTGTACATATAAAAAAAATATTTCCAAAACTTGTTCCACGTGATGGACACAGAAGATTTGGTTCCTTGTAGAGTTTTTTCAGTTCTCTAGCTAAATATTTAGCTTCGTCCTTTGGTAAGCCTAGATTGCGAATAAAATCATTAAACTCATTCTAATTAAACGTTTGCGGATTTTTCTTTCCATTCATCGGTATATATTTATCTTCATTGACCCTTTCAATGTCATCGTCCCTTCTTAATTCCATATTCGTGTTCAGCGGGACCGAAAATATGGAGGTTCTCCCACGACGTAACAATCCTTAAGCATGTTTGCAAGTCACCAATTTTTTGAGGATTTGCAACTTTAGATTCGTGTTTAGCGGATCCAAAAACAAATCAATAACAGAGTTTGATCAAATGCACAGATCACTTTTTTGTTTTGTACGCTATTAAGCGTAGTAAGCGTTTTTTGAGTCTAAGGTAAGTATACCTAAATTAACCGTCTTCATCTGAGGAATCTGGGTATCCTATATAATCACTGATTTCTTACTCGTTACGTCAAAAAAATATTTATTTAGTTAGGTCTCAATTTTCTACTAGATTCTAATGTGCGGTATTCAGTAGGGATTCTACCAAATTTTTCTGCCTTAAGTTTGTTCGGTACTCAAAATGTAAATTTGTCATTGGACAAAGTACAGAGAGAAAATAATTATCTCTATTTACATTGTGACCTATAGCAGCAGTGCCCTAAACCATCAATTAAGGTCTTATTCGACCCTTTTACTATTGGGGTCGAGTTCAGTTGAATAAAATTAATTAACGTCGATCTGTGTGTATAATTGATTGGTTGTGCAATATTTAAAATGAAGCAAAATAGAATAATACCCATCGTTTTATTTAGTGCACTGCAATCGATGTTTTGTTGCTATTCAGGCATTATTTTCGACAAATTATTACGTAAATAGGACAGTAAATAACTTGGGTATTTATTATTTTGTACAATTTTCTACATAAAACATATATGAAAAAACTGTATATAATTATTATTTGGTTTTGAATGCAGTTGCTAGTTGCTTTTGAATTAATTAATGATAATCAACAATTTTGTTTTTTTATGAGTTATTGTTATTACAGTTACTGTAATATAATTTTCGTCTCTGTAAAAAACATAATGTAGAAGTAACATATAGTCTACACAGTATGTTATTTTTTAATTGTCACTGCTAGTCATCAATGTCTACTAACACAAAATAGTGGTTTGTACTTACTGTCAGAGAGCGACCTACTAATATGTAGACACATAAAAGCATATCAGTAGTGTCTGACTAGGCGAAATAATGTTTTTATTTAATAATGTTGTGGGAAACAACTACTCCACTGACTGAAGTCTTGATCAGGATTGAATAACACTGCGATATCTACTAGCTAAGATCATTTGACAGTAGAATCACCCACATTTCAAAACACGTCAGCAAATTGACATCCAAATAGTTAGATCATCCGTCTATCGTCTCATCTGTGGCATACTTATGAGAATTAATTATTTTGAAACCAGCCTGGTGGTTCTGTTGACATTTGGTCTTAGTAGTTTACTAGATATTGCGGGTTTATTTAATTCAATGGGCTTTAGTCGACAAAGTATTTGGTTGAATGATTTCCGGGCTGGTTGCCATTTCGTCGATTTACAACTCTTGACGTTTTGAGAGACATATCGCTCTCTTCTTCAGAAGTCACTCTGAAATTGGAGATCTACTAATTTTGTCACTATTTATATTTGATGTGGTCACTGATCCATGACGTTCCAGTGGGTGACCTCGTACGCGTTGTTGATGTTCTAGTGGGTTGCTTTCACAGATGACTCTTTTCCATATACCTGGCAGATCGACGCCACCGTCCCTGTTGAAATTGTTCGGATTTTTGTAAACTTCTAATGCTTCTCTGTATAGTCGGGGCCAAATCTTCCCTCCCTCACCACCATGTTGGCTTCATTCCGATCCACTGTGTGTCCCGTGTCCGCCCTATGCTCTGCAACTACCGATTTTTCCCAGTTGTTATTTTGGAGGTGACTTTTATGTTCCTTTAACCTCCTTTTGATGTGCCTTCTTGTTTGTCCTATGTAGACCATTCCGCAAGAGCAAGGAATACTGTACACACCGGGGCCCTGGAGCTGGTCGTTGTTGCAGGTGTTTGGAAATGCTGCCGCCACCTTCTTTACAGTGCTGAATACTGTGTTGATATTCCTCTTCTTCAATAGACGTCCGATTTTATCTGTACAACCTTTCACGTAAGGTAGATACGTCGTCGCTAAGTACTCCCGTTTCTTCATGTAATGTTTCCTCCTGATAGCTCGTTCGATGTTTCTCGCCGTGTAGCCATTCCCTCTCAGGGCCGTGCGTAGGTGTTCTAGTTCCTCGGCAAAGTGTCTTATCTCGCTGATGATATGCGCTCGATGAATCAAGGAATTTATGATCTCCTGTTTCTGGGCTGGGTGGTGGTGGGATTCCGCATTCAGATATCTGTCTGTGTGAGTTGGCTTCCTATATACTTGATGTCTAAAGAGCCATCTGGTTTCCTCTCAACCAAAACATCCAATAAGGGAAGGGCGGCATTTTCTCCACTTCCATGGTAAACTAACTGGATATCTAGATGTATTCCATTTATGTGATCCAGGAAATACGCTACGGTGTTGCGTCCGTGGGGCCAGATGATGAAGGTGTCGTCAACATATCGGTACCAGCACTTAGGCTTCAACGTTGTGGATGCCAGGGCTTTCTTCTACAAAGTAATTGTTTCTCACAATATCATTGATTATACAAAGTAATGTATAACTGTTTCTTTTTCATGCATTATTCATTTTAGTAATAGTGTTTCTGTAGCGTTGATATTAGGTAAACTCAAGACTGTAGACATTTAACCAGACATTTATATGAAATATAGATTTAATGCCATTTTTATTCTTCAATATAATTCCGGCGCATCCGCCAATAATTGAAAAAAATTTTATTAGCCCTTTTAAAACAAAAAAAAACAGGACTTTGTTCGCATATATTCTTATAGGAAATTAAATCTGCTAAAGTGTATATTTTTCTGCTACCATAAGACCTTTTCATTAAATCAAATAGAATTTGAATGAAATCTAATTAATATATCAAAGTGATTGCAAAGAAAAAAGAATTGGTGGGTAGTCAAAAAACCTAAAGTTCTGGAAGCCTCTCAGGCTGACTACATTTTGCAATAACTAAGTAAAATACTTAACAGAAACTTGGAAACCGATACCAAAGTGGAGTTTATATTGGAGTAAGGAAAGAGTTAGTAATATAGCATTATAGACGGCCTCAGTAGTATTGAAGTAATAGTGGAGATTACGACTAACGAGGTAGGAAAGCTCCATGAACCTGAAATAATACCAGTCTATAATAGATATATTTGTATATCTAAGTTGAGCTTTGTAGAAGCTTAGGAAGTGGTTGATGTTTCATTTTGAAAGATAGTAAATTTTTCCTTTCATTTCAATTTTCGATACTAATGCAATTTTGCTGCAGGAAGAGTGTATGGTAGTTTCCATATGAACTCAACGCGCAAAAAAATTGACCTCTTTTTTCGATTTTTTTTTTAACTTTGGTATATTAATTTACTTTGAATTTTATGAGACCCACGTTTTTAGTTTTTCAAAATGACAGCCACTTGAAAAAAATATGCATTTTCGAAACCGTATCTCCAGAACGGAGCAAGTTGGCATATTGCCGCTTGGCTAAAAGATAGCTTATTTGGCTTGAAAAACATTTTCAAATTTGCCGAGATTTTTGAGAAAATCAATTTTCGAAAAAAATTACTTTTTTCGTTTTTCTCATTTATCTCAGAAAGTTTTAAAACAATTTGAATTCTGAGAGAAACAGTTAAAAGCTGATGAAATTCTGCACATTTTGGTCAAAATTACGGCCATTTGAAAAAAATATGCATTTTCATTTTCGGAATAACGCTATCACGATGTAAACTTTGACCTGGCGCCACAGCTCCAAAAAATTTTTTCGGAAAAACAAAATAACACGGGTCTCATAAAATTCAAACTAGATTAATATAACCAAAATTTTTAAAAAATTGAAGAGATCGATTTATTTTGTTCGTTGATTCCATATGGGAACTACATCGAAAGAACAGTTTCTTTGTTGCCAACAAATTGCGTTACTTCCGAGAAAAATAAGATAAATTAATTTTTGGCAAAAGTTAAAATCATAGCAGAGAAAATATTTTCAGAAAGAAGAGATCACACATCACCCTCTACACCATTGATGCAGAGAATGAAATATTTGAGGGTTATTTTTACGTCATGTTCTTATGACGTGTATCAAATTTAATTCAGATGTCTTATGTCAATTCTCAGATATTAATAAAAAACCACATCGGAAGTAGAATTTAAACACCCTGTAACTTTAAAACGAAATATTTCTTAATTAATGTAAGTTAAATTAAATTGAATTGTGATCACCTCAGGAATATACAGGGTGTTTTTAAATGGAGGGGCACAAATGATACCAGAGATTCCTTGGGTGAAAATAAGTCGATTTAACCTTACATACCTATATTCCAAGTCACATAATAGAAAAGATACAGGGTGTCAAAGTGAAAAATAAAAAATGGTTTTTCCTTAATAATTCCTATAATTTTAGTCAGAAATGTTTCAAATTTTCAACAGGTAGGTTTTTTAATGATGGGAAAAATAATATAATAATGATTTTTGAGTATCGAGTACGAGACGCCCTCTGCAGGCAATGATATGCATTGAATATGTAGTAACTTTTTTGCCAACCCCTGTATACAGCTTTTAGTAATAAAATATGAAATACTGGACGTTATTCAACAAAAAAGGTATACTTATCGAAAATGGCTAAAGCCAACCGTTGAGGAAATATTTTTACTTTCATAAATTAGTGTTACGGATTTATACCTCCACGAATACCAAGGTACAAACAGACACTTTTGTTAATAAATTCAGAACGCATTACCTTGCAGTACTTATTAGTTGTGTATCTGTATTTATAACCAAAAGGGGGCTCATGAATCAACTGAGACAACATTATTTTTCCTGTTTTAAATTTACTTTACTCTTTTTGCGTTATTATTCTAGCATATGTGAATACACTTGTTGCATAATTTCTATTTAATTGTTTTTTAGGTGTCTTTATTAAAAAACAGATTTTCTTGTACATGTGAAATTATTTAAACCCTGCATTAAAGAAATCTCATATGATATAACAGTTCAGGTGAAAAAATATTGCAAAATAATTTTATTGTTAGTTTAAAAATAATTATTAGAAAAAAAAACAAATCAACTAAAACCAAGAGTCACTAACAACAGATAATTTAAGAGAAACAATTGGGTGACAATAAAAGAAAATCAAGATTTTTAAAGGATATTTGAAGTAATATCCATTTTTCTGCAACATATCGACATACTCGTCATTAGTATACATAATTTGTTATTTTATTCAGTTCCAAATCTATTTAATATCTAGGGCGCAGGTAAATAGTGACTAAAATCAATTAACACTTTAAACTAATACTTCAAAATTGTAATTTACGAGTATTGTCAAATGACATTTACTAAGTCAATTTTTTTATTTATTTAAGTAACTCGAACCTTGGAATTCGTGGAGGTATAAATCCGTAACACTAATTTATGAAATTAAAAATATCTCCTCAACGGTTGGCTTTAGCCATTTTCAATAAGTATATCTTTTTTGTTCAAAAAAGTCCAATATTTCATATTTTGTTAATGAAAGCTGTATACGGGGGCTGGCAAAAAAGTTCCTACATTTTCAATGCATAACGTTGCCTGCAGAGGGCGCCTCGTACTCGACATTCAAAAATCATTATTATATTATTTTTCCCATCATTAAAAAGCCTCTCTGTTGAAAATTTGAAGCATTTCTGACTAAAATTATAGGAATTATTAAGGAAAAACCATTTTTTATTTTTCACTTAGACACCCTGTATCTTTTTTATTATGCGACTTGGGATATAGGTATGTTAGGTTAAATCGACTTATTTTCACCCAAGGAATCTCTGGTATCATTTGTGCCCCTCCATTTAAATACACCCTGTATAAAATAATAAAAATAAATTATAGTTACAGTTGCCATCACCTAGTCTTAAAATGCCTGAATCATTTTTTCGTTTCCGCGTAACTTACTATTGGTTAAATCTGCTTTTCATATGACGTAAGTTTTCTCACTGAAAGCACCACGAAAATATTTATGTTTGTATTAACAGCACTTTCTCTGTAAATGAGTTGCGAACGTGTATAAATGAATAAATTAAAAATAAAGAAATCTTTTCGTATACCTCTCAGTTGTTATCCTGATCACTTTAGGGTCCCTGCGTAAATATATAAACCTGTTTGCTTCTCGAAAAATATCAAGACTTAATTGCACTTTGCAATGCAATTCGTCATCAGACGAATGCAAATAAATTTTCCTAAAATAATTTATCTCTCGCCACGTAAAGCGATCGTCGTAATAAATTCAAAGCATTTATTTAAACAGCAAAACACTAAAAATCTTTCAAAATACATTTACTCTATTGACATTCTGCTAGGTAATGTAAACGATTTTCTCAGAGCATAAATCATACTTTCTAGTATTTATTTGAATAAAGTTTAAAGCACTTTATGCTTCCTGCAAATATTTGTTTTACTGCATAGTATTTTTGCTTTCAAATGTGGTGTTCAGTGTAGTTATATCGGTACCTATATTTAAGTAAGATCGATATAAACATTTAAATAAACAATTAATAAGTGATAGGTTTTTGCATTTCCTACATTTGTAAATTTGATATAGAGAAAGATATAGTATTTATATTCTTATTGATTACAACAAACAAGTCAGATCCGCCTTTGGTTGGTGGGTTATTTTTGAATATTTTATAAGTTCCTTAGATTTTTTTTGTAAATTAAAATTCTGAGAACTCATTAATCCAATAAAAAAGAAGTCATTATTGGAGATCCAATAAAATTATGATTTCACCCCCAAATCGATCCGTCTTATTTTAGTATTCAGCCTGCCAATAACCTTGTATGAAGAGTATTTGAATTCGTCATTAATCCACTCCATTCATTTTTTTTTTTTTCATAGATAAGATCAAGGCATTCAATAGTTTGTTGCAAGGTAATAGTTTGTAATGGATCTGATACAAAGGTCGAATACATCGAATCATACAAGTACATATGAACTGTGTTTCATTTTTCATTGAGTCACCCTTATATCTTCATTATGTTGTAGTTATTACTTGTATTAGAACATTTTTATTACGAAGTAATTACTAGCCATCTGAAACTTTGTGGCGACAATCAAATAAATAAACATTAGTAATCTACATTATGCTAGTAAACGGCACTACGCGTTGTAGTAGCAGAAACAGGCTAAATCTGTGATCAAGCCGTATGCCGCTCTATGCTCACAATTCACAATGATACTAACTGCCACAAAAACACGTACCATACCCTCGACCAAGCAAAGGTTCAAACTCACTCACACACGCACAAATGACAATGAAATGCACGCCCAACGTCCCTCAGCAACTAACCTGGAGTGTTCGCCAGCATGCCAGGCCGACAGGGCAGGCATTGGGGAGCCACTAGATACGTACCGAATAAATAGATCGATGCGAAGCTTCAGATGAGAGGCAAACATGTACATGTACTCCAAAACGATTCAAGTTACCGAAATCATAGATATTCTTTTCTTTTAATATAATATTATCTAAAACTTTTGGCACAAATTCTTGAAAGGTTAGTTTATGAGAAAGTTGGAACAATATTTATCCAAAATACCTTTAGTCTGAACGTTAGATTAAAGTGGAGGAATTAGTTTTCGACCATTAGATTTTCAAATAACCATAACACTATTCTAAAATTAATTGTTTGGGCGACATTTTCAAGTTAATATTACATCCCCTGTAAACCCAAGTAAATCCCCAGTGAATCCTGTACATCCATCTAAATTCATGTGTATTTTAGGTATATACCAGCACATTCTAAAGAAACCTTAGTACATCCACATAGGTATTAAAAGTTGTGTTAAAAGAACTTAACAAACACTCTATATAAAATAATATATTAAAAAATAACTTTGATTCGCTTATACCTCCGTTTCTGATACAATCTGTATAAAGGTAACAAAACAGAAATTTTGTTATACCTTCTGGAATTAAATTACATCATTAAACTTTATTCATTATTCTTCGCAAAGCTAACAAATTGAAGGAACTGAGAAAAAATGTAGATTTACAGAAAAAAGGTAAATATTTTACTGATAAATTTAACGTCTTACGTTTATCAGATGACTATTTAATTACATTTTAGCCTCCTTAAGGACTTATTAAGTAAATAAGGGTAACTGTCGACTTTTTCCTTATACCGAAAATTTACTGTTATTAAAGAAAATTAAATTATTAGCAAAATATCCCTTGAACTTGCTTCTTAAAATAAGTCGTTTCAGACGGCTGTCATAAAAACCTTAGCAGAATTTTAGGGTTTATCGCAATGTATATATTTTTATTTGATCTGAGATTTGTAAATAACAGGTTTATATAAAATATCCAATGAAACACAAGTAATATAAGTTGAAGTTTTTGTAAATGTCACATACTTTCAAATCAACAAATTCGATGGGATAATAAGGTACCTTAGAAAGTACTAAGGACAGGAAAAATCTGTTGGCATGTTGGCATTTGAAAAATTAAGTTTTGAAAAAAAATAGATTAATTTTCTACGTTACGTAATTAAAATGCGTGAATACCGATATGAATTTATTATTTATGTCTTTTAGCATAAGAATTTGGTTAGGCAAAAATAGTTAAAAAAAAATCCTTGTCTGATCGACTTTTTCGCGCACGGGTTTATTTAATTTTTTGTTTTACTTTTTTTACAGATGGCAAAATATCCAAACAAACGGATAAAAAACTGAATTTATACCACAAATAACTTTATAAAATACTGTTAAATGGTCATATCAACAATTAAATGATGATTTTCATAAAATATGTACCTACATTTTCGTGTGTATTGTAACCTGAGGGGTAATTTCTTTAATTATCTGTCTACCATTATGATCAGTATCATAACGAGTCTGGATTTCAAAAGAGTTTACTATTTAATTCTCGAAAAGGAGTTTATAATTATCATTACACTTTAATTAATACGTGGGAACTTTTGAAATGTTGTAAGTTCAGAGAATAAATACCCGACACTTACCGTATGTCGCTCATGTACAAGGTAATCCAGTGGTTGGTTGTATGGGGTGACACTTAAATTGGAAGAACAAGAAAGAAACACCAAAACTTCCAGGAAGGGTTTTAATAACAATAAAAACAAAACAGACAAACAAAATAACGACACAACGGGCTCGAACAACATTATTAATTAATTTATTGACACGCGACAGCGTACCAAGATTCAGGGGATGCGCGATCCATAGCAAAATTTGGAATTACTTTATCCATTATTAAATTAACCCGAGACTTTAAAACTAAGTAGACTGCTAAATGTGAAACCTAAGGAAGAATTGCCTTTTTTCGTAGATCTCTCCTGAATTCGACACTTCGCTTCGACACGCCTATTTCTTGGGTCCAGAAGTTTCTGTTCTTATCTTACTGGCGGGAACCCTGAATATCGGGACGCTTTGGCATAACTATGCCATGTTAATAGTTGCCTAATGGACTCAATTTACATTTGTCTAAATAATTTTGAGACTAAACTTACAAATATCTTCCTTTTTTGACTCCGCATAGCAATACGGGACGGATTAGTCCATCTCATTTAATCTATTCTTATAGTTTGGAAAATCCGCCTAAAAACCAGCTATTTGACCTATTATTATTTTCCTGACAACATTCTAACAACTTATTCTTGGAATTCCTACGTTCTTTGGAATGCATTTTGCGCGTTATTTGAAATATCGATTGTTCACTTTCTACCAGATGCTCAACACATGGCCCCGACAGTCTAAGTGAACTTGTTAAAAAAATATTGCTAAATTTCTCCGAAGGACGGCCTTGTGGCGACGCTACTTGAGAGCCC